GGCCCGCGCGGCCCCCCCACAGGCATCCTCACCTGCCGGCAGCAGCGGAAGGAGCAGCGGCTGCAGGGGCCAGAGGAGGAGGACGAGTGAGCGATGGGCCCTGGGAAGTGGGGGCGGGTGGCAGGACTGGGGAGCGTGGGGTAGGCGGGAGAGTAGAGAATGTTGTCTCCAGGACTGTGTGAAACAGACACCCCCCCTATAACTGGGACTTGGATGGGGTGGGGAGGACCGTTTATTTTTGTCCTCCTAAAGCGTAGCTGTGACAGCTCCGCTCCGTGAAGCCCTGTCACTCCACTTGCCCTTCAGGGGCCATCACTCAGATTCCAGGACGGTCCCCCGCTTCTCCGTCAAGGTCTCAGACGTGACAGGCACAGCGCAGCCGGCCTCAAGGCCCATTCCTGCCCGCGCGGAAGGGAAAGGGAAACAACGTCGAGGCCGGCCTATTTCCTGCCTCTCCGTCCCTGGGAGGAAACGTCTGTCTCTTCCCGACGGCCAGAACCTAGTCACGTGGCTGCCCCAGCTCAGGGAAGCTGGAAATGTTGTCCTCGTTCCAGGTGGCCGTGTGTCCAGCTGAGAAAGAGGGAGGCTGGATACCGGGCGAGGTCGGCCACCCCCATGCATATAGAGCGCGCAGTGGGGGACATTTCCACTCCAGTGTGCCGGACTTGGAGAGAGGCGTTCGGTGTGAGTGAGTGCCCCGAAACCTCACACCCCTCGCCGATATGAGTATTCCAAAAGTGCCCGTCCCGGGCCAGGCCCAGTGATGAGACACACTAAACGAGCTTGCCACCAGCTCCAGGGTGAGACCGGACACTGCGGAGGAGGGGAAGAAGGGCTTTATTGCAGCACCACGCAAGGACGGGGTCAGGATTCTCGAACACACCTCCCCGATGTAAAAAGGCAGGGTCAAGGTGGCCGGACCCCACATACGGCTTCAAAAACACTGGGCATGTGTGCAGGTCTAAAATCCAGAGAGGAGAATGGTGAGAAGGGGCTGCTATGGGCTCAGCCCCTCAGGGAGTGAGTTTTTTGTTTTTTTCTGGTTTTGAAGAGGTTTTTGCTATAGGGCGCATGTGCTCACCAGAAAGACAGAGAGACAGAGACAGAAAGCGAGAAATCACCCCCCAGGGGGGATGGCCACGCCGCAATCCCTCCTCCTCCATTCTCCTCTCGGGATCTTGGGCATGCACGCACACGCTCCCGGCATGAATTTAAGCCACCAGGTCTGGGACTCGAACCGCGGTCGTCTACATGGGAGTCTAGCAACATAGCCATTATGCTAATTGCTGGTCCCAGGGAGTGAGTTTTCACTCTCTCTCTTTCACCAGCCCTTACAGGTGCCCTGTAGTGAGTGTTTAAGTTTTTTTCCCCAGAGGACTTGTGTGCTTGCCAAAGAGAGACAGTGGGGAGTGGGAAATCACCCCGGCGGGGGTGGGGGGGGCACACCTGCAATCCCTTCTCCTCCATTCTCCTCCTGGGATTTTGGGCATGCATGCACATGTACCTGGTGTGATTTTTAAGCCAAGTCCAGGCCTTGAACCGTGGTCAGCCATGTGGGAGTCCAGTGCCTTAACCACAACACCATAGCAAGTTTTTTATTGTTGTTCTATACTCTTTAAAGGTAGGTCTTTTTTAGAGGGCTCTCATCCCCAGCCCTCTCAAGACCTCTGTCAGGTTTTGATATGCAAATGAAAACTTGAAACTGGTATGTTCTTAAGTCTTTTTGTGGGGGAGAGAGAGATTTTTGCTATAGGCGTATACACTTGCCAGACAGACAGACAGAAAGTGAGGGGGGAATGGCCACACCACAATCCCTTCTCCTCCTGGGATGCCCAGTGTCAGTTTGAAGCTACCAGGTCCAGGACTCAAACTGTGGTCAGCCATGTGGGAGTCCAGTGGCATAACCACTATGCCATATGCTGGTCCCAAAACTGGTATAGTTCTTGGTCAACCAGAGGCAGGACTTCATAGGCTCTGGAGGGTCTCCCATGCAGATGAAGGACTGCAGCCCATGCAGCTCCTACCAGTGACCAGAGCAGCCCAGCTGGGCTCCTTCCCTGCAACGAGGCAGACTGAGGTTACTCAGTCCTGCGAGCTCCCATGCCTGGCAGGCAAACTTACACAGGCAAACGGAAGTCAGCACAGGAGGTCTCTCTTATCTCTTATCTTAACGGCTACAAGGCTCCTGTGCTTGCCAGAGAGAGAGAGAGGGAGAGAAAATCCTGCCAGGATTTGGGGCATTCGTACACATGAAGCCTGTGTATTTTTAAGCTATCCAGAGCCAGGATTCAAAC